GCAGGGGTCGCCACCGTCAGCCCCACTGACGAGTCTGGTGGCGACTCCGAGATGAAACGCTTCCTTTACCATCATTCCCTACCTCATCAACAGCGGACCCACAACAACGTCAGCGTACCACAGGCGCCCCTGGACCACACCGCGCGACAGGACCGACTGCAACACACAGTTAGATCAGAGTGGAGCGAACGGCAGCAGCGACAGTTACCGATGACGGCGGCGGGACGACTACGCAGCTACGACGTATCCTCCATCTGATCTGGGATCTCCGGCGAGGCACGGCTAGAGCGACCTGGGACGTGACACATAAAAATGGTGGCAGCGGTGGGATGCGTCGAGGAGAGGCGAAGTGGAGCAGCGTCGAGGTGATTCCGTTCGGCTACGGACCAGCGAGCGTGGACGCTCTTTTGCTAAGGGGGGAAGTGTGACGTCTGCCGACGTTGGCGTTGGAACAACGTAGCCGTAATCAACAATCTACTGCGATAAAATTCAGCTACGTCACGAAAATCAACAATCACGGATAGAAAGAAGAAAGAAAGAAGAAATATACCGCCTAAGAATGGCGTAGATAAACAAAAGATGAAAATATACCGCCTAAGAATGGCGACGATGAACGAAGAGACGACGATCGAATACAAGTTCCGAAGGAAAAACTCTCAAGTTCACTGGTGGGTGTTGACTGACCGAGCGACCTGTTGCGATCGTGATGTTAAGCGACCACCGTAGTGAACCCGTATAGGATGGGTGAACACTTCCAAGCCCAGCCTATACTTCCGTCCAACCTGCGTCTGGGGCAGGGGTCGCCACCGTCAGCCCCACTTACGAGTCTGGTGGCGACTCCGAGACGAAACGCTTCCTTTACCATCATTCCCTACCTCATCGACAGCGGACCCACAACAACGTCATCGTACCACAGGCGTCCCTGGACCACACACCACTGCGACAGGACCGACTACAACACACTCAGCTGGAGCAGAGTGGAGCGAACGGCAGCTAGAGAGACTGTTGCCGATGACTGCGACGGGACGACACTGCTACGCAGCTACGACGTATCCTCCATCCGATCTGGGATCTCCGGCGAGGCACGACTAGAGCGACCTGGGACGTGACACTGGATTTCGGATAGGTATCCGTGGTCTAAGTATTTCTACAAGACAGCATGATATTGCTATTTTAAGGCAGGATCTCTTTGTAGCCTTCTTTCTAGAGAAAGCAGCCTCCTCTCGGCCTGTGCTCTGGATTCGCCGAGCTACTGTTTCTTGTTATTGAACGACAGCGCAACGACGTACCTTTCCTCGGAATTGCGTGTAGTATGGATGCGAAAGTGTTCTTCACACGCCACGTCGGATTCCGATAGTCTTTGTATCTGCAGCCTTTCCTCGATTTCCCAGAAGCGAGTAAGGTCAGCTTGCAGGGCGGTTGTGGAGTGACATTTGCTTTCGTGAGTCACACTGGTGTTCGGTGCACTCCCCCCAATGACCCATCCGAACCTTTTTTTTGTAAATAGAGGTTTGGACCGTCCGGAGCAGACGGGTTAATCTGTCCAATGCAAAGTACGGAGAGGGCTGCGCCGGCACCTAGGAGCATCTCGATTGGAGCAGGTCGATGAAAAATTGGATTGGCTAGCTTGATGTTCTTTGGTATTTTAATTTTCGGTTAATCAGCTGTTTGGGTATGACGGAGGAAATGTTGGGAACTTTAAAAAATGTAAGTGTCCGTGAGTAATTGCTATTGCGAGATTTGACTGTTGCTTTGAGGGTGGCTCTTGCGCTTGTGGAGATTGTATTGAGGTCGCCAATGGAGATGTGACATCTTCGTTGCTGGATTCCGAGCTGCTTCGCGAAGCACTTGAAAATGAAATTTGTCGTTGCACATGTGTCTATCAAGGTCCGACAACTGACCGCTTGGGAGTGTTTGTTTAACACATTGATTCTTGCGGCCACAGTTCGGATGTGATAGCGTTGGCAATGAATACCTTCCTCTACTTCCCCATCGGCGCCTTTGCTCAATTTGCAGCGCTCTCATTTTTGGATTGGTTAAGTTTTGACTTACTGGTTACTGTTGCTTCTCCGGGCATGTGTAGCAGCGTGTGATGTCGTCGGTGGCAAACTCGGCCCTACCCTGATTGACACTGCTCGATTGTGTGACTATCGCGCAAGCAGTTACTGCAAATTGATGCGTCTTTGACGATGGTGATGCGATGAGAGACCCCCTTGTCTCTGAACCTTTGACATGCCCAGACTCCGTGTGTGTCCTCGCAGACCGGGCACTGCGGTTTTGGTCACGAATGTACTTTGTCGCGGAGGCCGTGTTCTGTCGGATCCAGATTGTTTTATGGGAATCTTCTGTTTTATCACGCAGCAGTTAGCCCGCTTCTCCAGAAATTCCAGGAGCTCTGTATAGGTGGGCATTTCCTTGTCCTTGAGGGTGAGCTGCCACTGCCAGACTGTATCAGACGTGACCTTTGATAGAACGGTGGTGACTAACAATGAATTCCACGTTGCAATGCGTTTACCAAGGCCCTCAGATGTTGTTTGATAATATTGTCTACGAGGTTTCCTAGATTTACTGGAGAGTCTCGCGTCAGTTTCGGCGTTTCCAGGATGGCACTGCAATA